CAGAGACGTAAACTAGATACATACCCTCCTCCGGATTTTGCTTATAATAATTGTAGAACGCGGTCGCACACAAGCATCCGTGGGAATCGATCAGACTACTAGCCTTAAACTTGTGTAATCTGGCGGTTCCCCTGTTTGGCAAAGTGTGTTTGACCACCTTTCGGTCCCAGTCAAATTAGGGTTGTGCCACGGAGAGGTAGTACATACCCAATAGCATGTCCATGGGGAGTTCGTCGCTAACCAGGAATGAGACATGATGCCTCAATTCCCCTCCCGCGTACGGGAAAAGACACTCTATGTCTTTTAGGTAGTCATGGACTACCATGCGCTGTTTGTTGGCGCAGGTCGACTCCACAGGTCGACTCAGGCGCTGCACTTGCCCCTCTAAGCGCAGCCTCTAAACGCACGCGCGGCTAATAAAGTTCCTAGTCGAGCAAGTGTCGTAATAGGCCCCCGCCTTGCGGCCTCCTATGACTACCTCGCTGACAAACATTTCACTCCTAAGGGCTTTGACTAACGCCGTCCAAGAAGCTAGTGGGTCTGATCTAGACCACTCATCCTCTAGCTCCTCTAAGGATTCAAACACATTCATCGAACAGAGGGTCGATGGGTCTGAATGTGTTTGCGGGACGACTGAAGAGTCTGTAGCTTGGGCCATCTCTCGCGAAGGTGAGGGTGAATCCACCATCGCGACCCTAGTAGGAACAACTACTACTCCTACTGGCCCGACGTGTTTCCCGGAGCACTGCCTGAAGAACTGGCAATGTTGCTACCAACGGGTTGAGAGGATCCTACCGCCGACCCCATAGTGGGCGGGATCTTCTCGGTGACCTTCCTTTTGCGACACTTGTACATGCTATGACCATATTGGCCACACATGATACAAGCTTGCCGTGCCCACCGATCTCTCCACACGTCCTCAGATAGACCCGCTTTCTCCCATGGAGGAGCATTGGGGTCTGTTTGACTCTTCTATCGGTCCCTTTACCTTTTTGCTGGGTTACGGCGGCGACTACTCCACCCTCTGAAGTTTTGCCACCCGCCTCTGCACCTACTCCCTCCTGGAAGTTGCCGTCCAACTCGATGGTTGATCCATCGTTGTCGATAAACATGATGCGACCTTTCGCCTTCCAGTTGGGAGGCAGTGTCTTCTTTCTCCCTTCCGTAGTGGGTGCCTGTCCATGCCCTATCTTTGCTTCCAGGTCTAGGGCCACCTTGCTAAACGAAGGGAAGTTGTGCATGTTGATGTTGGCCTCTTTTGCCAACTGGTTCTTGAGAGGCTGTGAAAAACATCTCAGGTACGAAGTCAACAGGACCTGAGGATCATAGCGTACCCCAGGGACACAGATCAAACGCTCAACAACGTCGGTGGCCTCCCTTACTGACTTAAACTGCCGCGTGTGCAGTGTCAGGATTGCGTCAGTGGCCCTTTGAGCCTCCTGAGGATCATGCCACCTTTCTTCCTTCAGGAAGTCCTCCAATTTCTGGGAGGCTGCCCAAGAGCGGAAGTCGTGACCATATCCCTGAAGTTGAACTAGACCGCTCAACCATCTCGCTGCACTACCCTCGAGGTAGGAGGCAGCCACAAGCACTTCTTCGTGCGGCAAGTTGAGTTTGCACCTGACGTAGACCGGCACTGCCCTCAACCATGTGTCGAGGTCCTCGCCTCTCTTGTCTCCTGTAAAAGGTTTAGGAGCGGCGATGGCCGTCTTTGGAACCCACTGTGTTTGTCCCGGTCCCTGCATCATTCCAGGCTGTGGACCTGGTGAAACAGGTTGCTGTGCTAGCTGCTGGGGCTGTGTGCCCTAGGCTGCACTGACTGCGAGACAGCAGGCTGCGTGGTGACTGCAACCTGTGACGGACTTGGAGTAAACACTGTATGTACAGGAACCTGTAAACTAGTCCCTGCTGTTACCCCTCTTGATAGCGGCATGCCCAAGGAAACTATTGCAACCGTTGAAGGGGCTACATATGGGGATACCCCTGTCACCGGTGGGACAGAAAAAGGAGGATATGGCACGGGCCAGGCACCAGGCCCTGCTGGTGATGGGGCTGCCTGAGCACGGCCTGCCAACACGGCTAGGCTTTGTTGAATGTCCTGAAGGATGGTAGTTTGATGCTCCTGCATCTCAATTACGACTAGCAGGGCCCTCCTAACTACCTTCACATCATCATCCATATGCGTCAGGACCATCGTCTCTAACTCCTCTATGTCTGCCACTCTTCGTTGCAACCTGGTTTTTCTTCTAATCATCATTTCCTTCTCTCTTTTTATCTGTCCTAAGGCCTGCTGTAGCTGTGCCTCTTGCAGGGCTGCCTGCTGGATGGCGACATCCTCTGGGGTCAACACTGCGGGCTGGCTTGCCATTAAGCCAGTGGACTGACTCACGGTCTGCGTGACCGTAGACCCGGCGGTACCTGAACTACCGGCTGGGGAAGTCTGCTGTGCAGACGTGCTCATGGCTGTGGTAGCCATGGCTGCTGTAGCACCGGCCTCGCTAGCTAATGCCCTGCTGGCCTCGGCTGCTCTAGCTCTCCTCTGCTGCTGCCTCTCCCGCTGCCGGCGGAACAGTTCCCTATCACCCCCCGGTCCTAGGGACACGTGAGATATAGGGCCTCTAGCTGATCGCAAGATCCTGGGGTCGTCCTCTCCGGTGTCCTCACTGTCGCTCATAGGCTACAACACTGTGCACCGCCTACACTAGATCATTCAAGATGCCTACCGCAACGTAGTGCACAGACCAACTAATTACTGGTGGCTATTTTGGAACATACCTCACTTGGGGTCAACAGGTAAGTCAGATTCCTACCGTCAATACTATTTTTAGTAAGATTAGTTCTCAAACAGAGAAAGCATCAGGAATAAACAATATTCCTGAGTACGGATCCGGGCCGCCCGGTCGACCAGCGCCTGCCCGGGGGAGGTTCCGGGCGGCCTGGCCGTGCGGGCGGCCCGGTTGGGGGCCGGGCACCCCCAGCACACCTTGTCGGGGGGGGGGTTCAGACCCCGAATCGCCGTCAGCTGGGGTCCCCAGGGCCTACCGGGTCCGACCAGGCCTGAAAAAAGGCGAGTCGGGCCCGTGAGGCCAGCCTTTTTTTTTTGAAATTGTGACGGCCCTCTGGCCGTCGATCATACATGATCTTCGGCCAGAGGGCCGTTTGATGTTTGGAGGGAAAACGTCGACCCGTTTGAACAGCCGACTGGCTGCCGCGGCCTGCATCGGCTGTCCAAACGGGGCCTTGGTCTTCCCCCGCCGGCGCAGTTCGTGGTTCAGCTGCCCGTCGTCGTGGAGCTGCCCGTAGCCATCGCCTGGGAGATTCACTCCCCCGTCGCCGTGGACCCGCCCGTCGCCCGTCGCCAGCGTCTTGGAGTTGCCAGCGCCGTGGAGCCGCCCGTCGCCCGTCGCCGTGGA